CACAGGAGAGACTGTCCCCACCCTCCTGGTACACACACTATAATTTGTGGGTTGGGATATACATAGGGGTCTATATAAATACCATGAGTTTTAAAATTCAGTATAGGAAATATAGGGAGAAGCCAGGCAGTATGCCTTTAATCCCAGCAGTCCAGAGGCAGGCAGATCTCCGAGTTCAAGGCCAGCCTAGTCTACAGAGTGAGTTCCAAGACAGCCAGGGCTACCCTCTATGAAGATAGCGGGGAGAGATAGAGATGCTGGGCAGGAGTGGCTGTTTTTGAAGGCTCTCACCTCTCTCTACCAAGAGGGACAGAATGCACAGTCCCCACCACAGCTCAGAACTGCCTGTGCCCTTTGCACATGCTCGGTGGGATTGCTAGTCCTCCTCGGGAACCCTCCATCAGCCCCGCCCCACCCCACCCACAGATGGGTAACTGAGGCACAGCCACCAGAACTGGTTGGTACTCAAACTCAAATATACCTGTCCTCAAGGTCCTTCTTGTCTTTCATCTTTGACATTCAGGATCCTCTGGCCCAGGCTCTTCTTTAGCCCCGAGGTCACTGGCATCATCACCAGTAAACATTTAAGCACCTAGTGCCAGAGGTACAGGTCACCTCAGGTCACCTAGATGGCCTGGAGGGCTGGGCAAAGAGCACAAGCAGAGATGGGATGTTTCAGGTAAGGTCTGAACGGAGGCCAGGCCGGAATGTAAAGGTCCAGAAAATAACCCTGGGAACAAGTGAATCCTCAGGTCATCTCCTGGAGGCCAAGGATGAGGAGCCACTAATTCGGGCTCTGACTGTAGAGTGGAACCACCTCAGGCCAGCTCTAGATGTTTCAAGTCTAATCACAATGAGAATCTGGGCACCCCACTCTGTGGGCACCCCACTCTGTTTGTGTTTTAGCAATGGGGTCTCAAGTAGCCCAGGATGGCCGTGAACTATGTACCAAAGGGTGATGATCTTGAACTTCTAGTCCTCTCTGAGTGCTTGGATTACAGGCATGCATTTTTGGTTTTTTGAGACACGGTTTCTCTGTAGCTTTGGAGCCTGTCCTGGACCTAGCTCTTATAGATCAGGCTGGCCTCAAACTCACAGAGATCTGCCTGCCTCTGCCTCCCGAGTGCTGGGATTAAAGGAATGCACCACCACTACCTGGCTACTTTTTAAAAATTTATTTCAAGCCGGGCGATGGTGGCGCACGCCTTTAATCCCAGCACTCGGGAGGCAGAGGCAGGCGGATCTCTGTGAGTTCGAGGCCAGCCTGGTCTACAAGAGCTAGTTCCAGGACAGGAACCAAAAGCTACGGAGAAACCCTGTCTCGAAAACTCAAAAAAAAAAATTTATTTCAAGAGTTTTGCCTTCTTGGGCAGTGACACATGCCTTTAATCCTGGCACTTGATAGGCAGAGGCAGGCGGATCTCAGTGAGTTTGAAGCCAGCCTGGTCTGCAAAGCGAGTTCTAGGACAGCCAGGGCTGTTATATAGAGAAACCCTGCCTGAGGGGGGAGTTTTGACTGCATGTATGTATGTGTACTATATGATGCTTGGGCATTGATCCACTGAAACGGGAGTTACAGACGATTGCAAACCATCATCTGTACCATATGATGGGTACCGGAGCACCCAGGTCCTCTGCAAACGCTCTTAATCTGCAAGTGCTCTTAATCACAGAACTATTACACACACACACACACACACACACACACACACACATGCTCCTCAAGTTTTTAAGCATAGCAGTTCGTGAAAGGGACAGGGTATAGAGAGGAGGGACAAGCAGCTTTTGATGTCTAAGGAGCAACGGTGTAGCCCTGGGGAACCTGAGGTTCTAAGGCAGAGAGAGCTTGAGTTCCAGACTAGGGACTGGCGTTTATAGTAGGTGTATGGGGAAAGATAAACTGAGCGCAGGACAGAGGGAGACAAGGATAGTAAAGCGAAACCCTGCCTGGACCATGATGTAAATAGAGTCTGTCTGTGTTCATTTTTGTTGTTAGTGTGGGCAACTTGCCGTTTCTCTGGACCTCAGTTTCTTACGAGGAGCCAGCTTCTAATCGTTCATGCTTGAACCCACGGGTCAGCACTGGCCTCGACCTTGGCCAGGGAAGCTCTTCTCTGCAGTGGGCAGCAGAGACTCACAACCTGCCAGTGTTGAGTGTAGGACCCTCACCCCTTATTCTCAAAGGGGCGAGAAGAAATTTCCTAGCAGAATGTTTTCCCAGGAAGATAGTGGCCTTCCCCTCTCCCACCAGGGAGATTCCGAGCAGAAGGTCACTTAGCCCAGCCAGCCAGTCACCTGGTAATAACAAAAAAACAAGAAGAAAGCTGACTTAGCAGAATGGGAGGGAGCAAAAGTCCTTGCACCTGTGCCAAAGCAGCTTCAAAAAGCCTCTTTGTAGTTATGCCTTTAAAAGCTTACCCCACAGAGGAGATACAACTCCCCTCTACCTCACTGCAGCGGGGTCAGAATTGGGTTCCAAACATGTTTGTATTATGCTAATTAAACCTTGCTTATTACAGTCTGGTCCTCTCTGATCGTCTCTCTCTGGGGGTCGTAATCTGGGCACAACATTGAGTAAGTGACAGTTGATCATTCAGTCACACATGGGACATTTGTATCACCACCACTGCCTCCATTAAGGCTCAGGGGACATCTCAGGGTCAGACAGGGTGGAAAGAGACAGAAGCTGGGAGGGTGCTGTGACGAGCTGTCTACTGGACATGGTCTGGCCGCTGTCATCAGGGGGGCTGTGACAAGCTGTCTTCTGGACGTGGTCTGGCTGCTGTGCTCAGCAGCCCCCTGCAGCTGTGGTTATCCATACAATGTCAGGGTTTGGTGGCTGGCCTAGACCCTCAATTATTTCTCTACCAGACCCCAACATAAACTTTCTCTCTCTGGACCGGCGTGGAGGACATGGGAATAAAGACATGACTCACACGGTTTCATCAGGAGGGAGATTTTCAGTGGTCCCTCATGAAGTCCTGAGTTCACATCCTGAAGAATTTCCTCTCATTTATTCTCCAAACAGCCTCTTTAGCATTCTGTCTCCTAGGTAACCAGGTGAATGGCCTTTTGTCATGTCCACAACTACCTGTCTGCTCTGTATGCTATTACAAAGAAAGGAGCAAAACATCCTGACCTTTTGTTAGGTTAGCGAGAGCCTGCCTGGCAGGATACATGACCCGTCTCAGGTGTGGCCTATGGCTTGATGGCTTGGCTGCCATGCCATATTGAAATATGGGCCTACAGTACAAGGTTAACTCAACGTGGACCAAGCAGGACCAAGAGGACTCAGTGCGCTACTGTATCTTTAAGGGGGGGGGGGGTGGGCAGAGGCAGGTAGATCTCTGGGAGTTCTGGACCGGATCCTATCTGGGGGGAGAAAGAGAGAACAAGAAGGCAGAAGATGTGATGGAGAGGGTAAGAGAGCAGGGCTGGCATGGATATAATCAAAATACATTACTTATAGACATGGAATTGCCAAAGAATAGATGAAAGATGCCTGCTTTGTCTTAATGGAACAGACTGAATTAGACCCCTTCGATCCTAACTAGATAGGCTGGACCCTCCAGTGCAATAGGCCCAGTTGGAGGACCACAGGCGGGCGGACTCCACCCACTCTCCAAGCCTGGCCGAGGTACACAGGCATCAGTGAGCATCCCCACATGACCCTGCCAGACTACTCACTCTACAGCAGGACACAGTGTGGCTGTGGAAATTTCCACTCGGTCCCTCTAGCCCAGCAGGGAAATAAGGCTGTCCTTTTAGCTTCTGAGTGGAAATTTCCACACACACAGACACAAATATGCACATACAGAGAGGGGAGGGGTGGGAAGAGAGAGAGAGAGAGAGGAAGGGAGGAAAGGAGAGAGTGGCAGGAGATTCAGTGACAAGGAGCTAAAGACAGACAGTGATGCTCACAGCGGGAGGAGATGTGGGACAGCTTCCGGTTCCTGCTACATGGAAGATAGTCAGGGGTCCAGGTATCTATCTTCCTTCTAGAAACACTGAGTACGCTATCTGATACATATTAGAGCTCACTCCAGTTACCAGGGACACAGTTGCTAACAGAACAGACATCTCTACCTTCCTGAAGGATATCACAGGGGAGGGGGGTACTTAAGTTTCTCATTACTGCAACAAGAATCCTGACCAAAAAAAAAAAAAAAAAAAAAAAGGCTGCTTATGGGAGGAACATCTATTCTGCTTACAGTTACAGGGACACAGCACAGCGTGGCAGCAAAGGCTCGGAGGCAGGAGCAGCTGACTGTGTTGCTCCAGTCAAGAAGCAGAAAGTAGCTGGGCTTGGTTGTGCACCCAGCACTTGGGAGGCAGAGACAGGTGGGTCGATGAGTTTGAGGCCAGGCTGCTCTACAGAGCCAGTTCCAGGACAGCCAGGGCTACACAGACAAATCCTTGCCTCAAAAAAGTCAAAAAAGAAGAAGGAGGAGGAAGAGAAGGAGGAGAAGGAGGAGGAGGAGAAGGAGGAGGAGGAGGAGGAGGAGGAGGAGGAGGAGGAGGAGGAGGAGAAAGAGGAGAAAGAGGAGGAGGAGGAGGAGGAGAAAAAAAGAAGGAGGAGGAGGAGGAGGAAGAAACACGAAGCAACGGCTGTGCTTGGCTCTCTGTCTTCTACAGTCTGGGTCTGGGTCAGCAGTCGGTAGGATGGTACAGTTCACATTTCTTTTTTTGAGTCCCACCCCGCAGTCCACACTTAAATGGAACTTCCCACCTCAATTCACCCAGTCTAGATAATTTCTTGTAGCTATGCTTAATGGGTATTCACCCAGCCCATGACCTTGGGCTATCAGGCCTGGTAGAGGCAGAGTTTCTTGTTTGCTGACTTGACGCCTTTAAAAAACAGAGACAGGCACTGGCTCACAGGTCAGGTCCGCTGGTTCCATTCACGTCAGAGCAGAAAACCTCAGCGGCTCTCTACCTTGTTGTTATTCATGAGTGTTCCCTACTAAATCTTTGATATCCTTTATCAGGCTCTCGTGGATCACATACCTCTGCCTACAGCTATGTCTAGAGATTTCTCTGTTCAGTAAATCTGGATCCTGTCAAGTGACAGTCAGTATTAACTGTGGAGCAGCGGGGATCCACATAAATACTGTGAACGAAAGCACTGCAAGGTAGGGGACAAAGATGGATGCTGGGGTCGGCAGTGGCTGTGTTAGAGAAAGTCATGTGTGTAATAGCAAGGGAATAGCAGGTGCAAAGGCCCTGAGGCAGGGGAGGGCAGCAGAGGAAGAGCTTGGGATGCTGGGAACCCGCCAGCCTTGTTATGGACGGGATTTCCCACTTGGTGTCATGGAGACCCCATGGGAGGTGTTTTTAGCAGAGGAGTGGCAATGATCTTGGGAGGCTTCTGAAAGGCTTCTTCCCTTCCCGTGAGGCCACCGTAAGTGTGTCAGTCAGTTGGGAAGGGATTCCTGGGAGATCTAGTGACCACCACACTTAAGAGATGTGAGCGCCCGGCGCAGGTCCCTGCTCACCCTCCTCTCTATGACTCAGTTTCTGATGGGATGGGAGAAAGCAGCATTGACTGGCCAACTCAGGGCCCTCGGCCCCGGAGAGCAGCCCTCATCCTTGTCACAGCCCTGGGCCTTCTAAGGTGGGAGCCTGGCAAGATCATGTTGGCAGATGACGAGTCTCAGGTGACAATATCGCACTGCAGGACCAAGCTGGGCATGACTCTGAGACAAGCCACATGGCTGCTCGCCTCCTTGGCCCTTCTTGATGCAGCTGTGGGAGAGCTGAATGTTCTTTCTTTGTGGAACCCAGGCCCTCCGACACCCTGGGGAAACACTCAGCCACACCCCAACCTGGAAGCTCTTCCTAGCAGAACCTTCCTGAGCTGCCTCTCATGCCAAGTCAGCAAAGTCCAGAGGCCAACGGGGGACGTGACCCTCAGGCATGGGCACCAGGTACCCACCTCCAGAGAGCTGCCAGCCATGCCGGTGGTATGGACAGATGCAGCAGGGACGGGTGCCACCCTGGCATGGTGCATGCAGGGTTTGGCACCTGCAGGCCCTGGGTCAGCCTCTGAGGGTTGGATTCTGGCAGAGCTTTAGGAAGCAGATGTCAGTTCCTCGAGGCAGCATGACACCTGGGTGTCCGGTGACGTAAGGTGCTGTGTTAGCCAGCACAGTGAGCCAGCCAGGAACCCTGATCAACAGATTCCCAAGGTCTTTCCTGCCCTACGCTAACCGCCTGTATATCTTACTTGTGTTACCATGTCCCATAGCCAGCTTTGTCTACATCACGTCAGAGACAAGCCTGGCAATTTATTTGATTTCAATGGAACCTTGGGGTGGGGAACTTGGCTTTATAGGATCTCAAGACTACCCATGGGGCATACTCTGTACAGCGCAAAGGCAGAACCAGCGGGCTAGTGTGGAGGCTGCTGCAGCAACCCTGGTAACAACAGTGGGGGCCAGGCAGGGCATGGAGAAGAGGCAGGCGGTGCTGGTTTGTGTCCAAGCACATGGATGGCTTGTCCTTCCACTGCCAGCTCACTTACTTGTCTCCTCTGCCCTGCAGGACACATGACAGGCACTCCATAGTCACCACTGCTATCGGACGTTCTTTGTGAGTATCCAGACGGCTCCAACCAGGCCACACTGCTCCTGTCCACCACGGTTCTCAGAGCCTGCCTAACCGTGGCATAGGTGCGGCTTGTGACCTCCCCAGCCCCCCCCCACACACACACACTGCCACATCTCCAGCTGGGCCTTCTACATGCAACCTTGGGTGCAACTTCTCGGGTATTATCCACTTAAACAGATCTCTTAAAGTTTGGGGCTAGAGAGATGGCTCAGAGGTTAAGAGAACTGACTGCTGTTCCGGAGGTCCTGAGTTCAATTCCCAGCAACCACATGATGGCTCACACCCATCTATAATGAGATCTGGTACCCAGAACCCTATATACATAATAAATAAATTTAAAAAAAAGTTTGTGCGTGTATGTGCAGTCGTGCACGGATGTACACCACGTGTGTGCAGGTGCCATGGAGAACAGACGGCTTATGTGTAGGATCCCTTGGAACTGGAGTTGAGGGCAGATGAGTCACTGTGTTAGGTGCTGGGAACTGAACCTGGTTCCTCCCCAAGAGCAGCAAGTGATGGTAACTGCTGAGCCACCTTTCCAGCCCTGGGCGCCTTCTATTTTTTTTCCTTGAATAGCCCCTCATTGACCTGGAACTCACTAAGTAGGCCACATTAGCTGACACTGAGCATCCGGGACCCTCCTGCCTTCGCCTCACCAGCTCTAGAATAATCCACACACCACCGCACTCTCTTCACATGGGTTCTGAGAATAGAATTCGTGTTTGCACGGCATGCACTTGGCTGTATCATCTCCGTTACACTTTTTCTGCTAACTGTACTCAATCCCCTCTTCTCTTGCGGGACTCAGCTGCTCTCTTCTCCAGAAAGCTCGCCTGCTAGTTGCACATTTCTGGGCTGGCATCAGTCCCACCAATGACCCCACCAGCCCCTGTCATACCATGAGGTTCGTCCACGGTCTGCACCCGGACGGATCATGTGTGCTGTCCTGGGGCTTGTCCTCCATTCCTAGCACCCAGCACGCAGTAATCGTCTTTAAAAGCACATACATGAGTGAAGGGTGCAAGACCCTTTCGGGTGCCTGATCACCAAGGGCGGGTGACAAGAGACGATGTGTTCCCTGGGAACAGAAGAGGCCCAGAAAAAGGTGGCAGGTAGATGGAGTGCAGCTTCTGGAATCAAAAGCTCTGGGTTTGAATTCAGCACAGTCGTTATTAGCCACATGACTGACCTTCTCCATCTTCTTATGAAATGGGGACAAGGACACCGCCCTCAGAGAGAACATGGTGCGGTAATTGGCTCATGCAGAACGTTAGGAGAAATGCTGGTGATTCAGATTGCCTCAGGTCGTGTGTGGGTAAGGACTGTGAGAGCAGGTGTGCCCCACCCCACTCCAGCACCCAAGGAACGTCGAAGTTCAGTGGTGCCGAAATCTGGTCTGTCTTCCAGATTCCACCAGAGGGCGCACTTCTTAAGGCTGGAGTTCTGTCTACTGCATCATTGCTAATTCTCAGCCCCAGGGATAGTGTCTGCTACATAGTTCTGCAAATATTATTTTTCTTTTGGATTTGGGGATTGAACCAAGGCCTTATGCATTCTAAGCACATACTCAAACACCACCCCAGCTCTTAATATTTTTTGAATGACTGAGTAGATAATTTGATACAAGTAGGGAGCCCCTGTGCTGCTGCTGCTTCCTCCTCCTCCTCCTCCTCCTCCTCCTCCTCCTCCTCCTCCTCCTTCTTCTCCTTCTCCTTCTCCTTCCTCTTCCTCTTCCTTTTCTTCTTCCTCCTCCACCTCCTCCTTCTTCTTGTATATGTGGTACGCTATGTGTTCATGTGAATACAGACATGCGTGTGTTTGGGTATACATGCATGTGTGTACACATTCAAGTGGAGGCTAGAAGGACAGGAGGACTGGGTGTCTTCAATTGATCTCCATATTATTATATTTATTTTTATTAGAGATAGAGTCTCACTATGTAGCCCTGGCTGGCCTAGAACTCACTATGTAAACCAGGTTGGACTTGGACACACAAAGATTCTCCTGCCTCTACCTCCTAAGTGCTTAAAGACTTGCACCACCATGGCCATCCCACCTAACTTTTTTGATACAAGTTCTTTCGTTAAACTCAGCTCATTAGCTGGGCAGCAGTGGCGCACGCCTTTAGTCCAGCCCTTGGGAGGCAGAGGCAGGCAATCCTTGAGTTCGAGGCCAGCCTGGTCTATAGAGTGAGTTCCAAGATAGCCAGGGCTAGGGCTACATAGAAACCCTATCTCAAAAAACTAAAAACCAAAAGAAAAGCAAAAAACAACAACAAACAAAAACCCAGCTCATCTATTGACTATACCGACCAGCCAGGGAGCTCTAGGGAGTCGGTCTCCCCCTCCCCTTTAACCTCGCAGCACTGGGGTCACAGATGTGCCCCATGCCTGACTTTCAGTGTTGGTGCTGGGACTTGCTACCATGCCACCCCAGCTCCAGATCCAATGACGCTCTCATCCACATCACACTCAGCCTGAATCTACTAACACTGACTTCATTCAACAACAACGACCAGTCAACCAGGAGCCTAAATAGGCAACTGGATTAATTTGCCTCCTGCCACAGAACCCAGCTGGTGAGTCCTAGATAACGAGGCAGCTAAATGATGTCACCAAGACCTTAGGTCTTTCTGTCCCCTGATTCAGTCACTTTATCATGGAACTTTACCTTCTTGGTCACAAGACGATTGTTGCACTCCAAGCATTATGTCTTGGTTCCAGGTAGGGCATGAGGACGGCAGAAAGCGGGGGGGGGGGGGGGTATGGGGAGGGGGTATGGGGGGGGGGGCTAGACCAGGCTTGGGAAAAGCCATGCTCATTATCAGAAAAGAATGTATCCCGGGGAAGCAACTGGCAAGCCCACTACAATGGCCAGATGGAGCCCCAGCTTCTCTCCCCAGCATGCTCCCCACTGGCTCCTGGTTGGATTTTGTTTGTGGGTTTTTTGCAGCAGGGTCTCCTGTAACGCAGCCTGACCATAACTGTAACTCTTTGATCTTCAGACGCTCCCTTCTGCACACATACACACCCCCTGTGTTGCTGCCGCTGCCAGCTTATACAACACTGGGGATCGAACCCAGGGCCTTCGTGCGCTAGAAAAACACTCTACCAAGTTGTATCGCCAACTCTTACTGGCTTTTTCATGACAGCAACAGCGCCTCCCTCCAGTCCCTCCTGTCCCCAGGTGTAAGGCCAGGACCATCTCCAGGCCTATGGCTATGATAATCTTGGCATCCGGTCAGTTCAGCCTAGATCTGCCCTGTGTTGTCCAGGCTGCCCTCCCTCTTTCCCTTCCCTCTCCCCCCTCTACCGTCTGTTTCCCTCACAGTGGCAAGATCTTATGCACAAAGTACGGTCACATCATTCACCGTTGAAGCTCCCAAAGGCTCTCTTCACTCAGACTGTCCCAGATCCCCTGGCCATGGACTGCAGGCTGCTGACTGGCCGCCCTCCCTCAGAGTCCCCTCTTTCACTTTGCCCAGTCACCTGGCTCCCTCCTCACACCTGCTGGTTTCTGCTGGGGGGGGGCTTTGCACTCACTGGCTCCTCTCCCCACCACCAGGAAGGCTCCCCCCTCCAGGAAGGCTCTCCCCTCCAGGAAGGCTCCCCCCTCCAGGAAGGCTCCCCACTCTAGGAAGGCTCCCCGCTCCAGGAAGGCTCCCCCCTCCAGGGAGGCTCCCCCCTTCAGGGAGGGCTCCCCCCTTCAGGGAGGCTCTCCCCTCCAGGAAGGCTCCCCACTCCAGGAAGGCTCCCCCCTTCAGGGAGGCTCCCCCCTTCAGGGAGGGGTCCGGGCCCTTCTCTCCTGCCATCTTCCTCCTCATCCTCCCCACTGCACTCACCGAAAGCACTTCTGTCAGCCTTCCTCACCTGAGCATAAACCAGGAGGCCTCGCTCTCCCACAACTATAATGCCAGGGCCTAGAGTAATAAGGTGCCCCCATCGCCACCCAAGCCCTGCCTGCCCTGCCCAGGTGGTCCTGCAACAGGGGCAGAATGAGGGATATCTGAGAAAAGAGGACTGCAGTGGTAATTGGCCGGGGAGGGGGGGGGCAGGAGCAGAGGAGACGGTAAACACGGGTACCAACCACATCTGACATACTGAATCTGAACCAGAAAGGGACCCGGGAAATAAACTCAGAGCCTGAGCATATGACTCCAACCTTCAATGCCCTGTAAACCATGAGATGGGGTGAGAGAGGATTCACATCACAAGGCCGTTTCAAACATTAAGACAGCATGTGTTGGCTGAGCATGGTAGCACATGCGCGCCTTCAATCCCAGCACTTGTAAGGCAGGAGGATCACTGTGAGTTTGAGGCCAGCCTGATCTACAGACTGAGTTCCAGGACAGTTAGGAATGTCTCAAAAAAAGGAACAAAACTAAACAAAACAAAACAAAAACCCAAAAAAAAACCCAAACCTTAAATATTATGAATATGTAAATCAGTAAGAGCTCAGAGAACCTGATGTCATAAAAAGAAAGAAGAGAAAGAAAAACAAACACGCATATAGCACAGGCTCACAGGGTCAGTGGGGTCAGGTGGACTGGAGCTCATCCTCTCAGAGGAGACATGGAGCGCTCAAGGGTCAACCCCTCCCTCCAAACTGGCTTTGAGTACTCCTATTCTAACTCACTCTGTAGACCAGGCTGGCCTTGAACTCATAGAGACCAGCCTGCCTCTGCTTCCTGAGTGCTAGGATGAAAGGGTGTGCAACCACAAAACCAGCCTTACAAATATTTTAAGTCTCAGGGAGAGCAGAGACTCCCAGAGGCTAGACAGAGGTTCAGATGAGTCCAGAAAGCCTGATGCAGAGAGATGAGCCTCTGAGCCTGTGCAGTGGGCTGTGAGCCTGTTTTCCGTGACGAAGGCAAGGGCCTTCCCATCATGGGCAGGCCGAGAAGACCCATGAAGCTGTGGATCAGTCACTGGTGTGGGGGGGCAGGCAGGTCCTGGGTGTCACCTCCTTAAACTTCCACCCAGCTCCTCCCACCCAGCTGAGGGGATTATGATGCCCGAAGCCCATACAGTTGTTAGACCAGACCTTGAATCTCACTGTCTGTGACTCAAAGACAATTTGTTTGGCTGCTGTATGGAAATTGAAAGATCTCTGAGAGACGTTTGCTAACTGGCTAAGATGAGAAGTCCTTTCTGCAGCCCAAGGTTTCTCTAAGAGGGCAGACTCCACCAAACCCCGGGGGCTTACCAGCAGAGGCCAAGGTAGGGACTGAAGGAAAATGGGCGCCACCTGAGGCAGAAGGAAATCCTGCAGCCGCAAAAGCCTCAAGACAGGTGTCTCCCCAGTCTAAGATGAGCCAAGACAGCCTGCAGCCTTAGACGGAACACCCCAATGGCCGCTCATCCACACTTGTGCCCCAGGAGTACAGCGCAGGACTTAGGAGTCCCCACTTTGGGTTTTGAGACAGGGTCTCCCAGGCCAGCGGCCGCAGGCCTCCTGCAGGTGAGGGCTTGTGCGGGCCAGTAAGTACACCTGGAGGAGGGGGCTGTGGTGCGCGATTCCTGCCGCCAGGGGGCAGCAGCCACTAGGAGCTGGCTGTGGGTGGGGCTGTAAGCCAAAGCTAAGCGTTTTATTCAAGAAGCCTAAATCAGATTCTTCTGTGGAAATGTCGGTTAATTCAATCATTTAAGACACAGCATGGGCCAGGAACATGCCTGCGGACCGTTGCTGGCAGCAGGCCACCAACCTGTCAGCTTTTGCCTTTGGGGGTAGGAGGATTCCAATTACTAGTTGGGCACCTCTGCACCTAGTTGGCAGAGCTGAGGCAGAGGCAGCTTTTTGCCTCCAGAAAATTCAACCGATTCTCCATGGAGTCCACAGGACAAAGCGGGTGAGCTGAGGTGGACTGTGGGAATCATTAATTGAGCAATTTTTTATTTTTACATTTATTTCCTTGGTGTATTTGTAGGTTCTGGGGACTGAACTCAAATAAAAAAAAATAATTTTAGAAAAACGTTTATTTACCTAGCTCACTGGCCCCTTCAGCACTTCTTAAACTAACATCTCACTATAAGCCAGGTTTGAAGACTCAGTGGGACTCGGGAGGAAGGCCCTTGCTTGTGTCCCAGCTGGATACATGAAGGGGATAGGTACACTTGTTAGGTGCACGGTCACAGAGGCTGTTAGATCCGACCCTACCACTTTGGACAAGTGACCTCATCTGAGGGTTATGCGGGGGGATTTGATGAGCTCACGCAAATGATTATTTACTGTAAAGTACAAAAATCTATGAGAGCTTCGGGAGGCGCCAAGCTCAGCAAGGAGAGCCCTCCAGCCCCCAAGCACAGTGACTACCTGGGCTTTTTGTCAGTGGGGAGAGTAAGGGGACGGCAGGGGCTGAAGTTCTGACCCAGAAGCCCCTTTATCCCCTGAAGTCAATCATCCTCTCATTTGCCATCTGCAGAGATGACAGTCACAGGGCATCTGGCTCTTTCCAGATTGTGTGTGTGTGCGTGTGTGTGTGTGTGTGTGTGTGTGTGTGTGTGTGTGCTCGTGTGTAGGTGTAGGGCCAAGGTCAGTCTTGGGTGTTCCTCCTCAGGAGCCGTCCACCTTGGGATTTGAGACAGGGTCTCCCACTGAACCTGGAGCTCTTTGATTAGGACAGACCTAGCTTGTGTCTTCCCTTGTAACCATCTTGTCTCTTGGATTTAGGGGTCAAAGACGTGGGTATAACCCAGTCATGTTGGCAAGGGCCTACCCAAAGTGCTACCTTTTGGAGCCCATCAAACCCTACAAGTAAGCTTTTAAAATCTACATGTGTGTCTGAGTCTAAAACTCCTTCCTGTGCCTTTTAAAATATTTTTTTTTTTCTGAGATAGGGTGTCATGTATCTCAGGCTGGCTTCAACCTCATTATACAGCAAAAGATGCCCTTGAACTTCTGATCCTCCTGCCTCTACCTTCCCGGTACTAAGATTACATGTGCGGACTACCACACTGATTGCTATGGTCCTGGGGGAGGAACCCAGGGTTTCAAGCGTCCGAGGCCAGCGCTCTGCCAACTAACCCCACCCCCAAGCTCTGCTACCTCTAACATGCAGAACTCAGGCTTCCACTGAGAGTGGCCCTAGCCACAAGGATGCCCAGGCCTCGGTGGGCACGTGAGTAGAAGCAGCTGTCAGGAGACCCCTCACCAGCAGCTTCTGGGACTCAGGTCCAGCTACTGGAGGGGTCACACTCTCTGGTCACAGCAAGCTGGCAGTCTGCCAGCCAGAAAGCCAGTCTTGGACCTGGCAGGTAACTTCCAGGGCACCTATCCTAACCTGCACCCAAACAGGAAAGCACCTCCGCGCAGACAGGGCTTGTCTTCTGATTATTCTGAATTTGAGTTGTGAAGGCAGCTACGCCGCAGGATACTTACCTGGAAAGGTCAGCCAGTACTGGGGACCACAGCTCCCCACTGTGAGAACTCGCAGAAGGCAGGGGGCCCTGTCTGAGGTGCAGGGATTAACAGACCCTCTTTCCGCACATGCCAGAGTAACAAGAGGGTTGGGAATTGCCTTTAGGGGTGTGGCCCTGGCTGCTTTTAGAGCTTTCTCCTGGTGGAGTCTGGAAGCAAGGGTAGGATAGTGGGCCATCCCAGGCTAGAGGACACTGGGCCGCCAGGTTCCCCACCCCCACCCCCCTTCAGGCAGCCCAGGGCCTGAGGCGGACTCTTACAGGTTCAGGTGGGACCTGTGACCTGCTTCTGACCTTTCAATCCTCCCCCAGTCATTTACAGGACAATGTAATGATGGTGTAGAGCTGGTGGAGGCTCTGGTGACCCTCCACAGGCTCCAACAGTTGCTGTCCTTTCCAGCGTTAGCTAAGGAGTGCTTTTTCTCTTCCATTTCCCGGGTTCACCTGCACAGTCCAGTTGGCTCTTCACTGTAAGACTCAGGAACCCATTTCTCATTTATCTGTCTATTTTGGTTTTTCCAAGACAGTTTCACCACCTATCGGTCATCTACCTACCTACCTACCTACCTATCTATCTATCTATCTATCTATCTATCTATCATCTTTGTTTTTCATTGTGTAGCTCTGGCTGGCCTTGAGCTCACAGAGATCTGCCTGCCTCTGCCTCCCGAGTGCAGGGATTAAAGGGATATGCCACCACCGCCCTACTACATGGACCCCTTTAGAACCCTCCAGCGCCCCCAACCATGGGCTCATCTCAATCTAGTCACTCCCCTGTATTTTCTTTCTTAAAGATCCATGCCTTTAAATCCAGCACTTGGCACTTGGCCCTTTGGGTGAGAGGCAGGCTCCTGAGGCAGCTAAGCACCCAGGCCTAGGAAAAAGCCCTGACCCCTCTGTGTGGCATCCTGTGACCCCCTTGCACAGCTTTTTAAAAGGCACATTAACAAGATCATGACCCCCATGACACTTTTTCCCACAGGGATACTGGCAGTCACAGCCAGCAGTCTTGTCCCAGGCATGAGAAACGGGCCCAGGAGTAAATGCTTCCCCTAAGGTCAGGGCTCCTGGTTTTATGTTTAGATGCAACCCTGCAGCTCCCTGGAACAATGCTGTCAAGCTGAGTGCGCACTGTGGTCCTGGGGCCACTGGCTTGCTGTTAACTGGGGTACGTCCTTCAGACCCAAGTAACCCCTTTGCTTTTTCCAGACTACTCCCTTTTCTGCTATCTTTCCAATAAAAGTGGTAGCATCTGTAGGTCACAGACATTCCTGCTAATTCCTTCCTCCAGGCTGCCTCTGAATTCCACCTGCTCAGTCCTGACCGGCTTGTCTAGGCCAGCCTTCAGAACCTCTCTGTGGGGTACCTCGGCACTTATGCAGCCACACCCGACTTTGTTTCTTAGAACTGTGATGGTCTGCCTTCTGCACAATTTGAAAGTCAATTTGAGGCACACCAACACCGCATAACCATGCCCAGCTCAAGAGCAGAAATGGATCACTCAATGCTGGAAACAACAGTCATGATTATAAATCAGTGTGCCAAATATACAGCTGTTCTAACCATCTCCACAGTCAAACCCCATCCCCCAACCGACTCTAAGACAGGAGGCCCTGTGGCTCTTGCTCATATTTGGGGAAACACGGTGAAGTCGGGGTTGCAGAGGCACAGTGCAGTCTCGGGGAGCTCCACTTCTTTGTTTAGAGTGGGGGCTTGCTTTGTAGCCTAGGCTGGCCTTCAGTTCCACAATACCCTCTCGTCTCTGCTTCCCAAGTGTTGAAATTACAGGCATAAGCCATTAAGCCTGGTCCCAAGGCACTGTTAGCCCTCCTGCAGGCAGGCTTACTGTGGATGCTTCGCTTCTAAGAGCTTTTATGCCATGAGGCAGCTAGAGTGTATGTAATTAAAGCTATTTCCCAAAGGGGATGGGAAAACTGCCCAGGCTTTCCCTGACCTGAGGGGCGGTGTGGTGTGCTGACAGTAGCGACACAAGGTGTCTGCCTCGATGGTCCTTTCCACTCTATAGAGGTCACAACACAGCTCGCAGGTTTCATGAGTATTCGGAATTTCAAGACCTCACTGAGAAGGAGCATTAGCTGATACCTCTACCCCCAACTGTCCTGTTAAGCAGAGAAACCATCAAACACCCTAAGACCTTAAGGTCACCACAAAACTGTGCTCTAGAACACACCATTTGTGCCTGTACTCTTCCTTTTTAAGGGGAACAAAACACTGCTTGTTTGCACATAAACATCTGAAAGAAAATAACAGCTGATCCGGGTGAGGCACCACACAAAGCCGTGATTGTGGAAGGACAATTCAGAGACGGGGAGCAGAGAAGCCTCTGTCTGCAGCAGCTGCCGTGTGCAGCAGTCACAACGGGTCACTACCTGGAGAGAAAGGAGTCACCGCCACCAACAGCACTGTGCAGTTTATTAACCATTCAAGTACAGTAGCATCTGATAAGATTGGGACAGAATTGGGATCGCAGGTGTGAACAGATATCAGCATCTAACAGGTCGGAAGAAGCCACTACACTCCTCACAAACGTCTTCCACAGAGGCAATACAGTACTAGCCATTAACCCAGCACACCGAGTGTGCTCAAGTGGAAAAGATGCAACGAGAAAAATAGCTACGTTAGAAAGACCAACACTTTAAAAAAGAGTAAAACACTTTCAGTTTCTCCCCTTGAGCCCCTAAAACATCTCACGGTCTGGATCTACCTATACGGTCCTACATCAGCTTCTAGAATATTTGTCAGGAGGGAAAAGTAAAATGACACTGGCCAGTACAGTCTTTGGATATTTAGGAAGGGGTCGGGGAGAAAGTCAGTTCTCAAAACAAATTAGTCAGCCTCAGTCTCATCCGCAGGGTCTTTGGATTCTTTGTTCTTCCGCACCTCTTCAACGTGCTTGTCCTAGAAGAAACTGTGTGTAAGTGTCATCTGTCAAACAAATCATTTGCTGAGCCCTGTCCTGCCCACCCGGAGGTGCAACACAGCCTCAGTCACTAACAGGCCCTGAGAATCCCAAGGCATCATCATCTTCAAACCTGCTGGGCCTCTTGGGATGACAACAGTTAAACCTCTAACTGCTCTTCCAAGGAATACAAAATCATGCTGAGAAGTCTAGAACATTCTATCTTAAGATGAACTTCCTTCTTACTGAATGTGATGACAAAAAGGAACCAGTTTTATTTTATCAAGACAGTTCAAGCTCCTAACTCCTCTATAAAGGCGACACCAACCTTCTCTCGCAAACGCTCCAGCTTGGCAGCCATCTGCGCCTCCCGGTTCTCTTTGTTAGCTTCCATCTTGTGGGTCAGCTTCTCCTCTGCCATCTTGCTGAAGTTGTTGTTCTCCTCGATGGCTTTCTGCAGCACCTCCTTCTCGTGCTCCCGCTTCTCGGCGAGCTGCTTCAGGACTTCTGCCTCATGAGACTGCAAAAGAGTTCAACAGCCCTCAGAAGTGCCTCTGGCATTAGCTAGAACTGCAACAGAGACTATCCTCAGGGGACAGGAAGAAGGAAGGGACCCTGGAACTAATGCAAGTGAGGAGCTGAAGTATCTTCTGAAACAGTGAAAAATTGCCTTTGTTTTCTAACCAATGTTTGTATTTACTTTGGAAAGCTGTTCAGGTTTTTGTTTTTGAGACAAGCTCTCATGTAGCCTAGGTTAGCCTGGAACTCTATATAGCAAGGGCTCACAGGGACCTATGATCCTCCTGTGTTTACTTCCTGGCGTTGGGATTATAGCCATATACCGCACCAACCTAACTTGTCTAGATTTTATAAGGAAATCCTTCTACGATGTGAAGTACTTAGAGGACTTGAGCAATCTACTTAGGAATGGCACTTTAATGAATTTCTGCTATTTAACTCCAAAGGTTATGGAAAGAAAAGGGCATTGTCAGCTGGCCGTGGTGGTACACACCTTTAATCCCAGCTCTCACAGACAAGAGGCAGGTGGATCTCTGAATCTGAGGCCAGCTTCGTCTAAAGAGCAAGTTCCAAGATAGCCGTGGCTACACACAGAATCCCTGTCAAACTTTTAGCAGCGGCTAATGAACAGAGTCAGACATATTTTGAAGAATGAATTTGCAGGGTCTGAGCACAGGGCATTCGCCACTGGTTTTGCCCATTGTCTTCCACAGCACCTTTGTCCAGATGGGAGGTGCACTACTTAGGCCGTCACTTAGTACGGGGCTACTGCGCACAAGGCCCAGCTTTCCTGTCTAGTCTCTGGTCATACTGCTTCCTCCTACTCCAACCTACATAAAGAGCAGGCAGTTGGCACAGCAGGGTAAATGCTGTCAGCTTTTCATTTGCTTTTTGGAACAAGGTCTCAGACTTTAGGCTGGCCTTGAACTCACAACCTCCCACCTCTGCCTCCCAAGTGCCAAGATGACTTCATGCATGCCACGTAAGCACTCTACCAGGTGAGCCCACCCCACAGCCAGGCTGAATTCCAACTGGGTAGGTAGCAAAGGATGATCTTTAACTTCTGGCCCTCCTGCCCACACTTCCCAAGTACTAGGACTGTAGCTACACCCAGCTAACACCCCATTCTCCCTGCAGACAGTAAGTGCTGACAGCAGGATTCAAGAACTGAAAAGGACATGTGCTCTGGCAGATAAACGTATATGTACATGTTAGACCACAAATTATCCTGGGGTGCTCATGTGGGATTGGCTATTACTTTACACTTTACCATTTTGTGCCTTAGTTTCCCCAACTTAAAATTTTATCCACTCACCTAAATCATAGCTGCTGGGGAGATTTAATGGAAATTTATGTAAAATTCCTTACTGCAGCAGGCCTGGTGCCTGTGGCCAGAAGAGGGCACTGGTCTCCTAGAACTTGAGTTAGGACTGCTGTATGCTCCAGGCAGCTGTACTGGTAATGGAACCTGGGTCCTCTGCAAGAGCAGCAAGGGTTTTAACTGCTGAGCCATCTCTCTAGCTCCTATCTAAAGTCCTTAATAAGAATCCTGCTGAGGGGCTGGAGAGATGGCTCAGTGGTTAAGAGCACTGACTGTTCTTCCAGAGGTCCTGAGTTCAATTCCCAGCAACCACATGGTGGCTCACAACCATCTGTAAAGAGGTCTGGTGCCCTCTTCCGGCACCAGAATATTGTATATAATAAATAAATAAATAAATATTTAAAAAAAAAAGAAAGCTTGGCTTTAGCTTAAAAAAAAGAATCCTGCTGAGTGGATATTTCTGGAAAATGAATTGATCATCTTAAATTTCCAGTTATAATTTCATTTCTCAACTCTTTTATAATCATATTAACAACTGTTAAATTTTCTCACTATGTTATGTGTATGGTCTGTGTGAATATATGCACATGTGCATGTCAGGCCTTCAGAGGCCAGAAGGCGGCATCAGATCCCTTAGAACTAGAGTTCCAGGCAGTTGTGAGCCACCCAACCTGGGTGTTAGGAGTCACGTTCTGGTCCTCTTCAAGAACAAGCACTATCCACAGCTGGGCCACGACCAGCCTCTCATTGGGTCTTATTTACTTCACGTGCATGGTTGTTTGGTTTGCACATCTATGAGTGCACTACTTGTATGTGTGGTGGCCATGAAGACCAGAAGGCACTGGATGCCCTGGAAATGGAGCTATGAATGTGGGTGCTGGGAAACACACACACACACACACACACACACACACACACACACACACACAGGGAAGGATAGCAGTGCTCCTAACTGCTGAGCTACTCCTCCAGGCCTCACTGGGATTCAAAGATGGTCCTTGATAGCGGAATTGTTTAGAATGAGAAAGAGTTACAATGCCACATCCCTGGAAGTTTGAAGTTTTTATTGCATTGCTCCTAAAAAGCAAAACTAAGGAAACAAAGGATTACCTGCCAACAAATGCCCTGCATTTTAAAGAGGAAAAGCATGAGCTTCCCACAACACAGTCTTAGGTGGAATTCTGCTTCCAGCACTCAGGAATAGGACTTTAGGAAAATGACTTAATATCACCATTTTCCAGTATGTTAGCTGAGACAGTTCCCACCAAGGAGGCTCCATTTGTTAGAGAAAGCTTGAGTCAAGGAGCTGGCTCCTGACAGGAGCTCGTTAAGCGATGGCTGCTGCTTTCTTCCAACCATCGCTGGCACAGGACCTTCCCTACTTACGACCACAGGACAGCTACAATTCTTTCTTCCTTTCTCTGAAAATGAAGCCAGTTGGCCTCATCACACTAATAAGCACACTGTCTCCTGCAAATGGTCCGCTTTACCTTGCGCCGTTCTTCTGCAGCTTCTAATTTCTTCTGGATTTCCTCCAGGGAAAGATCCTTCTTCTTTGGGGGGGAAAGGGGGAAATCGGGGACGGATTCTTTTGACCGAGGGCTGAGAATCAGCTCAAAAGCCTGGCCAGAAGCACGCTTCTCCAGTTCTTTCACCTGAATATCTGGAGTTGATCAGATTTATGATAAATGAGGAAAACCCAGTTTGCTTATTAAAATAAAGAATTCTATAATTTTCTAAAAACCAACAATTTAATAAACAGTATTAAGGCTAGGCTGTAGGTAAGAAATCAAATAACATCTCAAAAAAAAAAAAAAAGCTCAACATTTGGGCTAACAAATACCATTGAGGAGGAATTAGTATTTGATAACCATTTTATTAAACAAAGAATGAAGTAAACCTCACAATTTGCTTTGGACCAAGTCAATTTATCTAATTATAAATGATGATGAGCTTTCCATATATTTATCCAAATGATAAAATTCTTTAATTGCCTTTTTTATTGTAAATTCAGTTTTGAAAAGAACACAAATGCCCAATAAAAAGCCTAAGACCTGCACCACTTCCAATTCTAAAGCAGTGAGCCCGTCCGTTTCAGCTTTTCTCAATCAATTACCTACCAGACGATGCCATGTCGAACAGAAGACTGGCCGTGCACCCTCTACAATCCACTGGTAAAGAGAGCCCTGAAAATTATTTTCAAAGCACGCAATCAATTTCTCTGTATTTCTCTATGTGAGCAGCACAAAGGAACCTCAAATCACACCCATGACAATGTCAGGAAAATCGTTAGGTGGAATCAAGTGACATCATAAAAAAAAATCATCTAGAAACACCGAAACATATCGGAAAATTTAAACTGAATAATATTGGCAGCAGAAAATTAAATGATGTTCTTAAAAGAAAAAAAAAACCTGTAATCTTAAAATCGAGGTTCAGTCACAGGGTTGAAGGATTCCTTCCCATAACCTCAATTTTTTTCCATCCAACGTAAGATTCAACCCAACAATGAGATCGGAGCCATCTTAATTCTGTGTACAACTCATTGTGCAATTGAAATACCCACCCTTGCTTTGTCTGTGTCTGCCATGGTGGAGAACACCCAAGCTAGCAGCCAATGGTATTCAAGTCCCATTGTTCCTAGGGTTTAAGCTACTCGCCTAACAGTGGGAAAATGAAGTTTTATGAACCTCTAGGCTTCTTTTGACAGCAGGGTCTAGCTATCTAGCCCAGGCTGGCCTTGAAATTGCAATCCTCTTGCCTCAGCCTCCCCAGTGTAGAAGGGTGGGGTTTAGCCCAGTGGGTTAGCAGAGGCTTAACATTTGCAAAGCCCTGGGTTCGAGGACCACGTGAAGGGGATTGGGGACATTATTCTGAGTGTTGAATTAGATATACGCCACCACACCCGTCTTAGGTTTGTCTCCTTTGCTGTCCTATGTCGCAAAAAAAAAAATTTCGACTTGTCGATTATTTTCTAAAGAGATTTCCACTCTTTTAGGCTCGAAGCGTATGATTAAAGGTTCCAAATGCTAGACATTGAATTCCAAGGCACCGAAAAAAAATCTAGCTGTAGCACAGCACCCAACACAGCACCTACCCAGCATGGGCGTGGTCCTAGCCCGGGCGGGCAGGCTTGAGGCCCGGGCCAATCAGAACCCGCCCCACGCTCCGGCCCCTGGCCCCGCCCCTCTGCTCCCCGCGCCTTTTCGAATCTCCGCGAACCTCTCCACACTCGGGAGCCCGCGCGCGTGGGCAGCGACAGGATGGGCGGGGCTAACGGTTCTCCGGGGGTGGCCCCGCCCCTCTCAGGCTGGCAGCGCGCGGCCGTCTCCCTCCCCACCAACTCCCGCCAAAAATACCTCGCGGCTACGCAGCCCTGGGATGGCTGCAGCGGGATCGGTCGCACCACCTCCGCCCCCCGCCCCCCAGCTCGAGTCCCCAGAGCTGCCCGCGACCTCCACCACCGAGCCCCAGGAGCCCGGGCGGGCGCCGCCCCTCAAGAGCACGGGCGCCCGCAGCCTTGCTCTCCATCAGACAATGGGGACCCCTGAAGAGCCGCGCCCACCTGGCGGTAGAAGCAGGGACGGCCCGCGCCCTTATTGTCTCCACGCTCGCACCCGGGGTTGAACCCCACAGCTGGCCGCGCCCCCTCCCCACCAAGCTGCGTCTCCAGGGACCAGGGACAAAAGCCGAGACTCCGCCAGAGCCTCACACAAAAGACGAACGCCCCCCGCCCGCCAGGTCTCGGGGCCCCCTCCTCTCCAAGCGTCCCCCATTGGCGGCCCGCTGCCTTCCTGGATGGTCCCTATTCAGCTATCTCCGCTGCCTAAGCCAAGCCAGCACCCACCTGCTCGCTCCGAGCCGCCTGGCCACACTCTGAGCACCAACAGACCTGGGCGCGCACAAAAGCGCCAAACAGGGGCACGTGATCTAGCCGCGGGGCTCCGCATTGGCTGAGTCTGACGGCACGTGCCGGTCCCACGCCCAGGCCTGGAGTGCCCCGCCCCTCTGAAGCGGCGCATCTTGGGAAATGTAGTCCAGGCCAGTGGGGCAGGAGGACAATGCAAGGGGTGGGGTACTCCGGAGGGGGCTTCTCCCAGGTGTGAACCCCGGCTGGACCCCGGGTCTCTGCGCGGAAAAGCACTTGGCTGTGGTCGCAGGACTAAATCGGCTACGGGACTACATCTCCAGGAAAAGAGCAGGGCGAGGCACGGCGCAAGGGAGGGGTCGGTCCTAACCTACTTTGGTCTTATAGACCTTGACCGTCTGCACTCCTTCTGCTGACCCGCACGAGTCAGGTTCGCTTCCTAGGCAGTGTCCCTTTTGATGCCACACCCCGCCCAAGACAGTGTGCCTCTCCGCCCTCCTGCATGGTCCTCTGCCCTTGGCGTCCTACCACGGACACACGCCAGATTGTCACCTGTGATGCAACATCGCAGTCGCTAACCCATTTCGTGCTGACAGGTCACGGGCGTGGTCCTTTCCTCGTCTATTTGCATTCTCCCCCTTCCTCAGCTTCCCGAGCTGGAAACAGTGGGATCTACGCAGGGCTGCGTGAGGCTCTGGAATCTGATCTTGGGTCGAACAAAGCCACTAAGCTTTAAAGGCAGACTCCATCTGCCCTGCCAAAGCCTTGCGGTGACAGGAAAGGGAAGAGCGATGGCAGTTCGAGATACACCGTCTGCAGTAAAGGGCTGCTTTTGTTCTGAAAGCACGTGCTCCCCGAAGCGGGGCTGGGCTCTCTTTTGAGAATGTAAACAAAAGGAGCCACAAGGTCACAGTTCCCTCTGGCCTGGATAAAGCGGAACTATAACAGAGACACAAAGGAAATTAGCCTGACCCTGTCTCCCTTAAACCCCTTCTCTCCTCTGACCAAAGCTGTGTCCCCATGCGGTGGTCATTTCCCCAAGGCACCTGCTCAGAAACGCTATACAAAAGGGATACTATTTTATTAATGGGTTTGGTCTCCCGAAAACCAAACCACACATAAAACGACCTCCGTGGAACCACGGTTCTAATTTTAAACAAATCCTACATCTGGCTAACCAATAGAAAAGTACCCGAGGAAAAAAAAAACACACAATAGGTGCACAGGACAATGAAAACTGTAATACCCAGGCAGCAGACAAGGCACAAAGCAAGCAACAGGCAGAGTACTGTTGCCTGAAATATGCTTAAAGAGGCACATTTTCCAACAATTGCTCTTGTGTAGGGTCAGTCTCTCTCTGCCCCCACCCCAGCCGGTCTGAATGGTTCTTGCTTAGGGTGTGAGCTGCGGGAGCCGATTCTGCTAGCCGAAAGGCTTCTCTCTTTCACAAACATAGCCTCAGAACAGCCAGGTGCTTCAGTTTTCTGAATGGATCTCAGAAACCATTTAAACACTAGACCGGAACGAGGCTACGTCCTTTCTGAACATTGACCGCAGGGGTAACACGAATGAGCAAAGACCTCCAATGCCAAGAGGTCTGGGACCTCCTGAGCCGGCACTTCGTCTTCAAGTCTTTGTACTGGATCTGGAGATGTGCGTGGCAGATCCCACCCATGTGGTGCATTTTCTTCCCCAAATACAATTGCCACCCCAAAATCTCATATTTCTATTAATGTTGTGACAGGGAAAAATTAATCCTTCAAAACACTGATTATTTTAAAGCATTGATACCATCCCACCCTACCCCACCCCCAAACCTTTCTCCCCAGAGCAGATGTCTATTTCTATGGAAACCACAGCTAGGCAAGAAGTAGATGTTAGAACTCATGGAGATTTTTCATCCTTTTTAGCGATGCCTCTGGGCTTCTGGATTTGTTGTTGGGTGCCTGCTTGTGTTGGCAGGTGGGACAAGACTTGCGATTCTCAGGGCTGCTTAGGAAGATGGGGGTGGGGCTAAGTTTCCTCCTGGAATGACCCTGTGCATAGATAGCAAGGTGCTTGCCTGTGCCGCGGCAAGGTGCGGTTCTTTAGGATGGATTGGGGTTGCTTCTCTGGAAGCCAGTTGTCCCCAGCGTTCACGGCTGGTCTCCAGGACTGGAAAGGGTAGCCAGCGGCTTTGCGGCTCCACTGTGGAAAGGGCCCCAACCTCCCTCTCCCCTAACACGAGCAAGATCTCCGCCCTCTCCAAGAGGCAGCGAGGGGTTAATGTTTCCGTCTCCGAGCTGCCTGTCTTTGCCTTTGAGAATTATTTTTTGCTTCTGCTCAGATGGTTCGGTAGGCTTGTGCTGGGGCCGGCTGTGACTGTGGATTAGCACAAAGTGAAGTCTAGATATGGCAGCTGTCCAGCATATTTGATCTGCGTAGACAGCCAAAGGAGAGTACTTCAGGCTTCAAAGCCCAGAAAGGATGTCTACACTGATGAAAACGTACCGGGCTGTTGTCAGATCTCAGTTACTCCCAGAGAGGCGACAGCCTTTGTTCATTGTTGCTTCTGAGGCCATAGAGGTTGTCTCCCACATAGGCGCCTCTGAGGTCCACCGCTGCTCCTGGGGCCTGTCTTCAGCCAGGGGGTGTCACAGGAGAAGTCAGTTTTATTGTTGAAGCGTCTTTGTTTCCTTTGTTCCCAGGCTCTGATGTGCCTGTTTCTGTTCAAACCCTATCTTTGGGCATAGTTCACACATCTGTCTCCCTTAATGGGTAGAGGCAATGTCATGTCTCGTCTGAGTGTCCAGTACGGGGGGCTTCATACATGGTGAGGGCCTAGAGGTTTGTAGAGGAGAGGTGGAAGAGCTCTCTCTCACACTCAACTTCCTGCACTGAGCTGTTAGAGCCTCCCTTACAGGAGTGGGGTCTGTGAGGATGCACCGACAGCCCTGAGCACAGAGCCGCGTTCAGCCTTGGTGCTGAGCATGCATTAACCAACATTCTATAGTGAAGTTCCTTAATTGCGAAAAGTTGTTGAATGAATGAATTAATTAATTAATATTAGACTTTTATCCTTAGGATTGCTATTGTCCTTACTGAGTTAAATCTTCCCATGAAATTATTTTATTTCTTTTTTTTAGACTTTATTTTATGTGCATTGGCGTCAGAGTCCCTTAGAACTGGAGTTACAGACGGTTGTGAGCTGCCATGAGGGTGCTGGGAATTGAACCCTGGTCCTCTGGAAGGGCAGCCAGTGCTCTTAACTGTTGAGCCATCTTTCCGGCCCCAGAATTATTTTGTTTCTAAAGCTATTTTCTCTTGTGGTCCTAGGGAACAACCAGGGCCATCCACGCGCATGCTAGGTGTTTCGGTGAGGAAACGAAATGTTCCCCTAAAGGGTCCTGTGTTGACTGCTGGGTCTCCGATTGCAGCAGTGTTCAGAGGCGGGGCCACTGTAAAGCAACTGCAATGAATTCATAGCTTAATGACTTCCTGGAGGCACCAGAAACTTTAGGATGTGGGCTTTGGTTGGAGGGAGTAGGTCTCAGTAGGTATGCCTTTGAAGGGGGTGTTTGTGTTTGCCCCAGCCCCTCCCTACCCACTCCTTGGGGACACTGGAGTATGTGTCTGCCTCCATGAGAGGCACTTTTGTCTCCCACCTCCCCTCTACCCCAGAGTCGATGGAGCCCCTGAGCAGGGAGCAAAACCTCTGACGCTCTGAGACCAAATCCACCTTTCTTTCTTCAAGGTGACTTTCTCAGATGTTTTGCCATAGGAATGGAAAACTAAGACATCAAGGGACCGTCTATTTGACTTCATCTTGGGAGGTTGAGCACTGGACCAGCCAGCATCTTCAACATACACTGCTAAGCTACAATCTCAGCCTCTCACTAGGGGATTTGATTTAATCAGTCAATCCTTTGCATTGCTGGGAATCAAACCTAGGGCCTTCTGCAAGCTAGGCGAGCAATGAACACCCCTGCTTTCCCATGGGGGGAGAGAGAAAGAGAGAGTGTGTGAACTGTGTATGTGTGCGTGTGTGAGTGTGCATGTGTGTGTGTGTGTGTGTGTGTGTGTGTGCGCGCACTCTATTTTTCTCCCCTTTCTTATCTTGGGGCACAGGCTCTCACTGTATATGGGAAATATTAGCTTTTCTGACTGGTCAGTGAGCTGTATAGATCTGTCAATCTCTGTCCATCAGTGCTGGGCTACACACACACACACACACACACACACACACAGCTCCTTATGTGGGTACTGGGGACTCCTTGTACCCAAGCACTCTTACCCACTAAGCTGTCTATCTGTTCAGCTCCCCATAGAATATGTTTTTTTTTAAATTCAATTAATTTCACATGTTTCCTAGAAAACATTCATATGATTTAAAAAATAAGACAGTCATGCAAGGGCACATAGCTATAATCCCAGCCCTCGGTGCAGAGGCAGGGCTATTGCAAATGGGCTACATACTGAGACCCTGCTTAAAGAAAAACGGGGTGGCGGGGAGTTGGAGAGATGACTACAGTTAAGAGCACTGACTGCTTTTCCAAAGGACCTGGGTTCAGTTCCCAGCACCCACATGGCAGCTCACAACCATTTATAATTACAGTTCCAGGAGTCATAGGCCCTCTTCTGGCTGCCAAGGCATTAAAAGAAGGTGGTGCACAGATAAACACGCAGACAAAACAGTCACATATAAAAAGTTTTAAGGCGGGGAGCTGCTGAGAGGGCTCAGTAGATAAAGTTACTTGCCCTCAATCAAGTCTGAGTTCAATTCCCAGAACCAACACAATAGAAATAACTGACTCTCAACACTGGGTCCTCGGACACCCACATATGTGCTGTACGGCATACCCACACACGTACACACATGGACGTGAACACATGCACGTGCTCACAAAATAAATGGCATACATTTTTAAGTATAAAACTCCCTTCAAGGACAAGAGAGTTCCAGGACAGCGAGGTCTACATAGAGAGATCCTGTCTCAAAAAAAATTAATTAATTAAAATATCCCTCCTACTTTATTGATCTCTATCTGCCAATTTCTCCACCTTCCTCTCTGGCCACAGTGATCATTACTTC